AGGATTTCCTCTTAATTTTAATCACTCCAACCCTCACACAATCCATTATATCATCATATAATCATACCAAAATTCACCAAACAACGCCTCAACACAAAACTCAAAAGTCCAAAGTCATGACCTCAAAATCCACTAAGTTAAATATCATAAATTTTCACTTAAAATTTTCATTGCATTTCTAGCTTTAATACATCATTCTAAGGCATTATCATCTAATACACATTTTCCAATTGAGCTCTCTAACATCACATATCAACCATGCAAGGTCTAGGGTTCAAGATTCAAATCATCACATTCAATCAATTAAAATGCAAGAACACTCACCCAAATGGAAGGTAGAAGGCTCCTCCTAAACATACTCCACCATCGGAGCACCTAGAAGCTCAATGAACACAAATCTCCAAGCATGAGCCGCGGCCTTGAGGAGGGATTTTCGCAAAATATAGCTAGATTCAAGGCTTGCCACTAGTGCCAATGTGTTTAGAAGGCCATTTCCAACAAATTTCAACACAATAATCACTTGATTTGGTGCCAAAATGACTAAGTTATGATGAAAAGAAAATTTGAAGTGGAAGTGGCCAAGGAAGAGGAGGGCTGCGGGTTTGCAAGGAAGGAGGGAGAGAGAAGATGATGAATAGTGTCCTAAGATGATGTGGCTTAAGTGGTTTAAGTGGGGTGGGTCCCACCGCCACCTCACACGATTTCAAACTCATTTGAATTTTTCTCTGATTCCACTAAACGTCCATAAATTCAAAACCTATTTAGAAACTCTAATTTTTAAGATTAATCATTGTCCTTTAATCATACTTGATTAGATGAATTCGGAGTTTTTCGGTCGTTCGGAGAAAACATTGTTTTAAGCTGTTGCGCGCGCCGTTGGCACGCTTCCCCAAACTGACTTAATTCTGTCAGATTTTATCAAAAATCATATTTCCTAAATCAATAAACCATTTATAACTCATATTTGAAACTTAGAGTTCAAAACTCAATCGGCACGTTTTACGGTATTTTTCTGAAAAACACTATTCACTGATTTTTCTGAAACTTGCCTATCCACTCAATTTTTCGTTCTGAATCCATTTCCAGGGTTATTTTTATCATCTGAGACCTTCTACTCAATTTTTATCTTCCTAGGGTTGTGTGTTGGCAATTTACTGTTTTGCCCTTTCTTTGTATTCTGGCCTAATCTTTAGGATTTTCACTAATCCATCACTTAATTATTCACTCAATGTATTAATTACTTAATTTAAAATTGTGAGGTGTTATATACATTTAATGTCTCTACTTTTTTTCTCTCATGTTATCCTACAATATAAGAAAACAAGAACCCTAGCTTCTTTTAGGCATAGCTATGCAGTTTAATAGTGAAATTGATATTCATTACCCTATCTGCTGCTATGATGCTTTGGTCTGTAAAGCTCTAGCTGCACATTTTAAAAATAAAATGTTTCTTTGAGTTTATTGTATTTTTGGACTCCAAACTCCAAAAAGTTTCCTTGGCCCACACACTGATATTTACTATCTTTTAAGAACTGTGGTTGATCAGTGAAGCTGGTGCTGTGGCCCAATGCCCTGTAAATTACAATGGAGTTACAATGTCCATGATTAACTATGTTATTTTCTGTTTGATGATTCCCCTAAAATGAATCAAAGCTAGATTTCAAACAAATGGATTATGAGGCCAGAAAGAACTTGCAGGAAAAATCATCACCACTCCTACTAGCAGTAGCATGCCAATCCCATTAACTACTTTAATACTTTGCCAACATTGGAGAATTTCTTTTTCTTTTTCAATTTAGTCAGTTTTATTTTTCACTACAACTTGGGTTGGGATGGTTAGATTTTGATTTAAAAAAAAATAAACACTCTATTTGTTGTCAGATATGTACATTTATTTTTATTTATCTAGGCATGTTACATGAGCTTTTTATTTTTATTTTTATTTTGTTACGTAAGAATTTGTAACAAAAGACCTGAAGAACGAAGAAGATGATGATGAAGGGTTTCATGAAATGGTTAAGAGCTTTGCAGAGAAAGCTAAGGCTGATGTCACGAATCTGCTAGAAGAAGAGAAGAAAATCATGGCTTTGGTGAAACTCACAATTTAGCTGGTGCATTCTGCCATGTACAAGTACTAATATTTGCGAGTTACATAAATTGAGTGTGGTTTCTTGTAATATTACAAGGGAAAAGTGTGTATCCTTTTAAAGGATACACACTTATATCCTTTTAAGAGAAATAAAGAAATAAACTTGGAGAAGAGAGAGAGAGGAGGAAAAATTTTGTAGTTTAAAATTTGAGAAAACACACTATATTTATTTAAAAAGACCGTCCTTTTAAATGATAAACATAACTTTGTGCTCGTTACATGAGCTTTTTATTTTTATTTTTATTTTGTTACGTAACTTTGTGCTCGTTTACGAAATTGCATTGAAGATTATGTCAATTAAATGAACAAAAAATTTCTATACAGGATTTATTTGGAAAAGTGGTTGACAATTTGGATATTGGGACTTGATCCATTTAGTAGTGGAATTACAACAGCGTGATTTCTTCTCATAGCCAGAGCTATAGCGTAACTCGGGGGCTGCATACAAAAATCATCATCAAAACCTAATGGGAAAAACGAAACTGAGGGCATTATTCAATTCTCCATGCAAGAAAAAAGCATTATCTAATTCTGTCCAGGGTGTGACCACGCATAAATCAATCAAAACTAAGTGCATAGGCATTCAGGTTAAAATTCATTGGTAATATACTAATAGAAGTGCCCCCTTCCCAAAACACACAAACAAGATAACCAAATTGCATACAAAGTTAAAAATTCACATCTAAAATTGTATATCACTAGCGAGAATTAATATTCAATGAAGGGTAAAAACAAGAAGAGAAAAGCAAGTTTGCCATTGGAAAGGTATTCACTTCAAAAGAAAGAGAAAAGCATCCCTCAAAAATCAAATATCAGGTTTTCACTTCAAAATCGAGACAAAATCAAGAACTTTTCCTCCCAAAGCAGATCCAGGAATTTTTATGACAAGGGGTGAAAATAAAAAAATATTATAGTATAAATAAAAGTACATAAAATATAATACAGACCTAATATAAGAAAATTTGAAAGAAATTTATTAAAGAAATTAAGATCACATCACTTAATTCTTAGGGGGTGTTTGGTATAAGTATTTTGGGGAAATCCTGGGAAAGTGGGGTGGAGATTTTTTTTTTACCATATTTGATATGAATAATAGTAAAATTGTCCCAGATGGTATTTTCCCCACCATTCCCGTTTTTAACTACACATGGAAAAAAAATAATCTCATCTCACCCATGATATTATTTTTTCCCACCAATTTGGAAACGCATTTTCACATTTTGAGACAAAAATACCCTTATACAATATATCAGTAGATGTGTAAAAATAGATAATTTTGTCATTTCGGTTCAGATTCCCATCAATATTTTATAATCAACCAAACATTAGTAAAATTAACCAACTTTCCAAAAAAAAATTTGGCCTACCAAACACTTTTTCGTAACTTACTCAGGAAAAAAAATTCCCACCATATTTTCAAAAATCTTTTTTCCCTGGTACAAAAAATATCTCCTCTACCTAACGCCCATTAATATCTTATTATACATGTTTCCATATTGTTAAACTCTTCTATAGTTGAATCCTGGCAAAACTCTAAACAATTTCTTTTTCAATATATTTAATCAAAGAATCATCAAGAAATTGGTCTTCCATTCTATTTCGAAGCCTATTGTAACACCCCGTTCTAGATCGGTTTGTTATCATTACGTATGATATTAAGCTTATTAATAAATAGGGGAAGTAAGTTGGGATAAACTTTTTCTTTTCTCAACATAAAATAATTTCGTATTTACTTCAATTGTTATTAGTACTCATACATTATCCACTTATGTTATAATTTACTTCAATTGTTTCATGCATACTCATAAACTTTTGTTTTTTTATTTAAACATCTCATCCTCAATAAGTCCTACATTCCATCATTTATTTAAGGGATATATTTTTCTTATGTTGTAGGAAAAAAACTACCTCATGTTGTAGAAATTAAAGTTAAGTAGGACCCACAAGTAAGAGGAGAGAGAAAAAAGAGTGTTGGAACCCAACCCCTTTTTGAGTGTGTAGAAGAGTTGTTTATCTCATGTAAAATGAGATAAACATAACCCTTTATTTAAATACCTTGACAAAGTCATAAGCAATGGGTACTCCTTTTAAAACATCCTCCTTGTGAGGGATGTTGACTCTTCACTATAGACCATTGCATAGTAAGTTTGGGTTCACTGGATTCATATTTTAGCCCTTGGAACAAGTAGGATTCGAATCTTTTTCAAAAAGCATTCGAATCCCACATTTTTTTGCACTAGGGATTCGAATCCCTAATTGGAGGATTTGAATCCCTCCTTAACAAAAACAAGACAGTAGCTTAAATTCAGCATTTTGACAATAGGGATTTGAATCTCTGAAGGAAGGATTTGAATCTTTCCTAAATTTTTCTTGATAGTAACTGAAATTTAACATTTTAACAGTAGGAAATCAAATTCCTGATGAAAGGATTCGAATTCCTCCTTGACAGAAGCTAGACAATGGCTCAATTTCAGCATTTTAGCAGTAGGCATTTGAATCCCTTATGAAAGGATTTGAATCGCTCCTGGACAAAAACAGCAACATTTCTCAGCAAAATGAACCGTCTTTACACCTCCAAGGCTCATGTGATTCCTAATTGACAATTTTACAACATATATTATGTCATTCTTAGCCATTTTAAGGCTTTAAGTCTAGGATCCATCCATGGACCAATTTAACACAGCTTATAAAAATTATTAGGCATCACATACACATACAGTCATACTTAAAATCCTTTTTGGTCACCTAGCCATTCATTAGCATAGGTTCCCATTACATCTCTTGTTTCACAAGGAATATATCAACATTTTCACACCATACTTGAATGTTCAACTACATAACAACGGTCTCTTGCACAAACACATCCTTGAGTCTTTTCTTACAACTTTACATAAACCATACGACACTGTACAATCTCATAAATCATACATATCATATTTAATGGTCCAATTACATATACATGCTCATTGTTCTCTAAACAAATATACAACATAGGATAACAAATATACAACATATAAACTATTACATACACCTAAACAAGTACTAATTTTTTTGAAATTAATCCATTGTCTCCGATTAATTCCCTGTTTTTTTTTTTTTTTGCAGTAAGAATGAACCTTGTATTTCCACAACAAGAAAAGTCAAATCTTCAGACTGAGGATAAGTTGTTCTTAAGGAACATAGATTCCTTCAGAATTCCAACGAGAGGAAAGCACATATATGGTTATAGAAAACCAAGATCAGGAGAAAAAGACACACTTTCATGTGTAAAGAACTGTAATGCAGTAGAACTAAAAGTTTCAGCTGCACTGGGACAACAGTCCTATCAACGTACTGATAATAATGCGGACAAAATCTTAAGATGCTCAAGAGATTTTGGAATTTGAAAGAAGAGAAAGGTCCAAGAAGGCGAAGAAAACATTTTGGCAAGTTCAAAGAAGACTACTAAACTTCCATCCAGGAAAGTACATGAGCCAAAGTCAGAAGGGGAAGAAGACATTTTGGCATATTCAAAGAAGACTACTAAACTTCCATCCAGAAAAGTACATGAGCCAAAGAAGAGTCTTTCTACCTTGAACAAGAAAAGAAAATTTGAAGACAATATCAGGATTGACAATTTGGAAGAAGATGAGGAAGTTCTTTTTCTTTCAAGGACAAAGTCAAGAAGCCAAACTAGAAATATGGATACTATGAAGGTGACTGCCTTTACAAAATAATCATTTGATTACTTTTGCACAAAGAGTAAGGTTAAATAATAGTTATATTCTCATATTGGGAGAGCCATGTGCAAAAATAGTCAAATCATTATTTTGGAAAGCTATCTCATAAAATACATGAACAAATAAACAAACCTTTCGAATGATTATTTAGATGTAAAAAAACCATATCATTGGTTGATGCACAGCAGACAGGACATTTTCAGACATTGAGTACAAGGTACAAATGTTGCTCTTTCCTTTTTCATGCACTGATGACATATTCTGAAATTTTGTTCAGTATCCTGTTAACACAAATAGTAAAGGACTTATTAAACTGTGTTATAAGGCTTAAATACCAAAAAAAATTGTCGTCAACTAAGACACTGTTCATAAATGTAAGAAATAAGCATTCAGAAAGGCAGTCCACCTTCATATTATCCATATTTCTAGTTTGGCTTCTTGACTTTGTCCTTGAAAGGAAAAGAACTTCTTCATCTTCTTCCAAATTGTTAATCCTGATATTGTCTTCAAATTTTCTTTTCTTGTTCAAGGTAGAAAGACTCTTCTTTGGCTCAAGTACTTTCCCGGATGGAAGTTTAGTAGTCTTCTTTTAATGTGCCAAAATGTCTTCTTCCCCTTCTGACTTTGGCTCATGTAATTTCCTGGATGGAAGTTTAGTAGTCTTCTTTGAACTCGCCAAAATGTCTTGTTCGCCTTCTTGAACCTTTCTTTTATTTGAAATTCCAAAATCTCTGGAGCATCTTGAGATTTTGTCGGCATTATTGTCAGTGCGTTGATTCGATTGTTGTCCCAGTGCAACTAAAACTTTTAGTCCTACTGGATTACAGTTCTTTACATATGAAAGTGTGTCTTTTTCTCTTGATCTTGGTTTTCTATAACTGTATCTGCGTTTTCCTCTCGTTGGAATTCCGAAGGAATCTGAGCACCTTAAGAACAACTTATCCTCAATTTGAGGATTTGACTTTCCTCGTGGAAATACAAGGTCCATTCTTACTGCAGAAAAAACAGGGAATTAATCTGAGGAAATGGAGTAACATCCCAAATAGATTATCTATTTATCAGTCATTCAATGATTCAAACTCCAACATGCCAATCTTACATAGTAACTTAAGTCCAAGCAACATTACAGTGTCTGTGTGTATAGAATATGAATTCATTAACCTATATATACTAACAACATAAATTCACTACCACATTCATAAGCATGACATAGGAAACTGAGCATCAAAGTAATCTAGCCATACATTAAACAAATAACCCAAATTCTGAAAAACCAATATATAATTCAGTGTTGATATAATGTATTACTAAATCAATAAGATGATGTGGTAGACCAAGATGTAACCTAGCCGCGTCAATATTTGTCCCAGATACAGCCTGAGCTCGTCGGTCTTTATGCCATTTGCAGTAATATGTTATCGGTTATTTTTTTAATTTTTAGGGTTCATTTGTGACAACTGACAAGATTAAAGTTTAGTAAGCTTTAGTTTGAGGTAGAGAGTTGGAAATATTGTAAATACATTAATAATACTATGTGGGAAGAAGTCCCACATAATTAAATTATTATTGTTATGTAATTGTTATACTTAGTTTATATAATAGAGCCTAAGTTGTGTTATAGAATCACACCGATTTCAACATACGCCTTTTAATATTCAACACTTTGTTATAAAACCTTCCAATAATACATTACAAATGGAATCAATGGAACTACTTTATCCAACCTGGCAACCTCCTATCCTCATACCAATTCTTCATGAAACAATTCTACAACAGCAATTGTTGTCAAAGTTGTTTCTTTCACCATAGTGTCTTGGCTTACATATCTAACAAGAAAAGGAGGATTTACGTGTCTGAATGATACAGTTAAAAGTGTATCCTAATAGAAGAAAACCAGTTAAGCAAAAATGGAGAAAATTGACAAATTAAACAAAATTCAGAGACTAACTTAGAAGTCAATATGAATAGGTTAAGAAAATGAAAATCAGTGGATCTGGAAGAGCAAGAAAATTCCAATTCAGATACACTATAAATATGCCGACATCTACTTCAGCACATCCTATATTAAATTTAATAAATCATATGACGAATAGAATTTTTCCAGTCAATATCAGCAAGTGTAAGAACCCTCACCGTTAATTAAGGTATTTAATTAATTAATTATGCAAAAATAAGAAATGATTCCCTAATTGACCCTAATAATTATTTATGAGGCTTAATAATCATAATAAGTGATTAAGAATGCTGAAAGTCGTTTTTCGGAAGAAAAGTGCAGATACCGGTTCTGCTAGTCAGTATAAATGTGTACAAAAAAAGTATCCCGGAAAATTAATGTAAGTGCATGATAATTACTAGAATAACATGTAGGACTTGTAAAACGAGTTTCAAGTCCAAATAATGAGAACTGGTGCTAGAAACCGGTACTGGCTTTGAAAAGCGCGTACCGGAAAGGTGCTCAGATAAATATAAGAAAAATATGATAAATCTTAGAAAATTATGTAGTTTGAGAATCCAAAGTTTGGGATTAAAATACTAAGCGTAGAAATTAAAGTTAATACTGTGTGTTTAAGTGTGTTTGGGCTATAAATACTCCCATTATGGGCACAAAACCCTAGGATCAGATTTCTCTACGTGAGTAACTTGGAGGCTAACCAGAAAACGATCTTTCCTTGCCTTCTTCACCATTTCTTGAGCAAGCATTCACCTTTGATGCTTGTTCTTCCATTTAAACACTTGGTAAGGGTGAGAGTTGGCCTTGGGACTACATTGGGGTGATGTTTCTGAGTTAGAGAACCTGTGTGAGGGAGTTTGAAGAGCTGTGTTTGCTGTTCTTGAGAGGTGTGACCTTTTTTTGTCATTTTGATGCTTCAAGGTGTCTTCTTGTTGAGTAAAAGAGTCATCTTGTGTTCATTTTCGTGCATCCTCTTGTGACAGTAGCTTGAGTCTGATTGTGAGCTCCAAGATCATCTCCCTTTGCTGTTTTTGAGCTGTGGTATGTATATCAACCTTTAACTTGAGTTTTAAGGCTTAAAAATGGTAGCTTGATGCATGTTAAGGTTAAAAGATGATAACTTGTTGTTGGGTGAGGCTTGACACATCTAGAAATGCATGATTAGGTGTTTAAAATCGGTAAAAAGGGAACCTTTAAGGGATATCTTCACGAAAATCCAGAAACTGCATTCTGTCGTGAGATATCCGGATATTTGTCGAACTGATATCCGGATATTGGATATACGGATACGTGGTTTTGGGATATCCGGATATTGGATATCCGGATATGTGAATCTGTATATTCGGATATTGCATATCCGGATATAGACAGTGAGATATCTGGATATTCTGGGATTTCGCAGAACAGCAGTTGTGCTGTGTGTACAGTAGGCTATTGGGGGTTTGTGGATCCTAGTTTGATGAAGTTGAACTTCTGTATTTAATGGATTAAGCCAGAATCATGGGATTTAGGGCTTGTGGCTTTGTTAGAAGCTTTAAGACTTGAAAACGTAACGAAAAGGCGTTGTCTTTAATTTGTATGCATGTGGTACATGTTATTGATTTATGTTTGGTCCATATCAGATTGTGATCTGCTGTGATTGAACTTTGAGCTTGTGGCATTGGATAGCTAGCTTAGAGGTAAGCTTTCGTGTCTTCGGTTTAGCCATGTTGTGGTTCCACCATGTCCCATGGGGATATGGTATATGCATGCTGTGTTACATGCTTTTGATGTTTTGGAAATGCAGTTGAGCTATTATATGTTAGTGCCTTGTTGATTTGCATGGAGGTGTTCCACCTATACGGTAAGCCTGAGTATGTAGAACATACAAGAGGGTGAGGCTGTGGGTGGGGTGCAAGCGGTGTTCCTTGTACTACATGTAGGGAATAGACGTATTCCTACATTTCTCTGACCAGTAGATAGTAATTACACACATGCCATAGATATTTGTTGCGCTACATAGTTTTTGGAACTGATAATGATATAAATGCTTTTGAACTTATATTGCATATGTAAGTGAGCTTGGGGTGGAAGATCCTTGAGGACCGCTTGTCTTACTGAGATTTCTAGTTTAGAGATCTCACCCCACGTTTGGGGAATGCTTATTTCAGGATCAGGTAATGTTGAGACCTCAGGCAGCAGGAGGCCGGAGCTGAGTTAGAGTGCTGTTATTTTATGCTGCCATGATTGGATGCTGGATTTGCATGCTGTTTATATGCTTATAGCTTCAGTTGATTTTGGAGTTTTATGTTGAGATTGTTGTTTACTATGTCTATTTGGTGAGCATGGGGATTGTCCATGACACATAGTATTTTTATGTCTTGAGTCTTTTGGAGTTGTAATAATGTATCAGGATATTGTCCGGATTACTTGATGTAATGTCGTGATTTAGATACACATTTTATCTATATATTGAGGTATTTCAGTAGATGTCTTAGTGCAATTTACATACAGGCGTTATTTTATGAAATTGATTAAGTAATCAAGTTGGTAATTGATAATGACGTCATAATTGAAAAGAACAGCAATCATGGTAACTTGTGCAGAATCATGGTAAGTCCCGGGAGAAACCGCGAGACTTCGGAGGATCGGCCCGATCCTGTCCTGGCTGCATTAGCTGAGATGCAGGCGGCCCGACTAGCCGACCAGGAGGCCATGAGAATGGCAAACCAGGCCATGCTGGACGCCGTCAGAGAGGCGAACAGGAAGGCCACGGAGGACGTGTTGGAGGCCAACCGTCTGGCGAACATGACGATGTTTAGAGTCATGTTGGAGGAGATGAGGAATGGCCCTGATGTTGGTCATGCTCCACGGCCACCACCTCCACCGCCACCACCACCACCACCTCCACCCAGTCTGCAGGATGACTCTCAGAGTCAGATGGGAGATGGCAGTCATCTTACGGGGGCCATGCAGACCGTCCCTGTTTTTGTTGAGGATCGTGATGAGATCGATCGCCGGATGAATGCTTTCCGTAAGCATAAGCCACCTGCCTTTGATGGATCCTTTGATCCTGTTGCTGCTACACGTTGGCTTCAGGCGTTGGACAAGATTTTTCGGGTCATGCAGTGCACAGATCCGCAGAAGTTGATGTTCGCTACTTACATGCTGGAGGGCGATGCCCATGAGTGGTGGACAAACCTTTCTCATGTCTACGAGATGCAGGGTCATGTGATGACTTGGCCTATGTTCGAGGATTTCTTCTTGGGTCAGTACTTTCCATATGACGCTCAGGAGAGGCAGCATGGAGAGTTTGACAGATTGGTTCAGGGCTCGTTGTCTGTGGACGAGTACCTGGCCAAGTTCAACCAGTTGGTGAAGTTTGCACACTTCAGGATGGCGAGGCCTACTCCTACATTTCTGGCTGCTAAGTTCCGCAGGGGACTTAGTGAGGATATTGCTGGTTACCTAGCTGGTTCTGCTTCTAGAGATTTTGGGACACTGGTTCAGCAGTGTCGTGATATTGAAGATTACTACAGCTCGAGTAAGGCCAAGAGGGCCAAGGTTGCTGAGGCGACGAAGGTTGCAGCTGGTAGTTCCACTTCTTGGCGAGACAGGAAGTTTGGGAACAAGGGAAAGGGTAAACCGTTGGCAGCTCGGCAGGCGCCGAGTCAGTTCAAGAGGACTTCTGCTCAGGGGAGTGCAGCGATTTGCTTTCAGTGTGGCAAGGAGGGCCACTTCTCCAGAGATTGTCCGTCGGCGACGATGAGGGCTACTGCAGTGCAGGCAGTGCCACTTCAGATGGTTCCCCTTCCACCTGCTTCGGCACCGGCAGTGCCACCATCTTCTGGGAGAATGTATACTTTGGATCGTCAGCAGTCGGATCGAGCTCCGAACCTTGTCAGAGGTACTGTTACGATTGGTTCATCAGTTGTTGATGTGTTGTTTGACTCTGGGGCTACGCATTCTTTTGTTGCTACCCCGATTGCTGTGGGGCTTGAGTTTCCCAGTGATGTGCTTTCTCCACCGATGCGGGTGACTACCGCCACCGGAGAAAGATGTGATGCTACCACTGTTCATCGCGATGTGGCGTTTCAGTGGGATGGCCGTGAGTTCTCGGTAGATCTGATAGGGTTGCCGATGGCCAACTTGGAGGTTATTCTGGGCATGGATTGGCTGTCCAGAAATTGTGTGATGATTGATTGTTATGCCAAGCGTGTAGTGTTGTCTCCGTGTGAATCCACAGTCAGTTCCTCGCCGTACATTTCGTTGCTGCAGGCTAGGAGAGCCTTGAGAGCAGGGGCATTTGGTTATGTCATGTTGGGAGGTTTGGTGAGTGGTACATAGGAGGACATCACCGGCATTCCTGTGGTGAGGGAGTTCCTTGAGGTGTTTCCTGAGGAGATTCCTGAGTTTCCGCCACAGAGGGAGATAGAGTTCTCCATAGATCTGTTGCCTGGTGTGGGGCCGATCTCTTTAGCTCCATACCGGATGTCGCCACCGGAGTTGGCAGAGCTGAAGAAGCATATTGAGGATCTTTCAGCGAAAGATTTCATTAGACCGAGTGTGTCTCCTTGGGGAGCACCGGTTATCTTTGTGAAGAAGAAGGACGGGACAATGCGATTGTGCACCGACTACAGGCAGCTGAACAAGGCGACAATCAAGAACAAGTATCCTCTTCCTCGGATTGATGATCTGTTGGATCAGCTCAGGGGTGCTTGTGTGTAATACAAGATTGATCTCCGGTCCGGATTCCATCAGATTCGGGTGAAGCCGGAGGATGTCCCGAAGACCGCATTTCGCTCGAGATATGGTCATTTTGAGTACTTGGTGATTCCGTTCGGTCTCACCAATGCACCTGTTGTGTTCATGGATTACATGAACCGGATTTTTCAGCCGTACCTGGATCAGTTTGTGATCGTCTTCATTGACGATATTTTGATTTACTCCAAGACGGAGGAGGAGCATGTGGGGTATTTGAGAACTGTTCTGCAAGTGCTGAAGGAGAAGAAGTTGTATGCAAAGCCTTCCAAATGTGAGTTCTGGCTCAAGTCTGTGAAGTTTCTTGGGCATGTTATTTCTGCTGAGGGAGTTGCAGTGGATCCGAACAAGATTGAGGTCGTGCTGGATTGGGAGAGACCCAAGACAGTTACGGAAGTGAGGAGCTTTCTGGATTTGGCAGGTTACTATCGGAGGTTCATCAAGGGATTCTCCACCATGGTTTTGCCATTGACTCGCCTTACTCGGAAGGAGACTCCATTTGTGTGGACTCACGAGTGTGAGGTCTGTTTTCAGGAGTTAAAGGAGAGACTGACTACTGCTCCTGTGTTGGTCCTTCCTGATCCTGCGCTTGAGATTGAGCTTTACACTGACGCCTCCGGGAAGGGGCTAGGTTGTGTGTTGATGCAGTTGGGCAAAGTGATTGCCTATGCTTCGAGGCAGTTGAAACCTCATGAGGAGAACTACCCTACTCATGACTTGGAGTTGGCTGCTATTGTGTTTGCTTTCAAGATTTGGAGGCATTATCTTTTTGGCTTGAGGTTTGTGGTTTTCAGTGACCACAAGAGTTTGAAGTACCTGTTCGACCAGAAGGAGTTAAACATGAGGCAGAGGATATGGATGGAGTTCATAAAGGACTACGACTTCGAGCTAAGGTATCATCCTGGCAAGGCCAATGTGGTAGCTGATGCTTTGAGTCGAAAATCCAGTAGTTCATCCAGTTTGTTACTTGGTAACTTCGATGTGGTTGAGAAGTTCCGCAACTTGGCAGTGACCGCTCCGTGTGAGAGTGTACTTCTCGGATTGGAAGCATATGATGTTGTGAATGAGCTTCTTGAAAAGATTAAAGAGGCACAAGTTCAGAGAGAGTGTCTGGATTATGTGAAGAACCAAGACGGTGTGTCTTGGAATGAGGATGGAGTGCTTTTGTTTCAGCAGAGGATTGTAGTTCCTTGAGGCCCGTTGACAGAGGATATTATGGAAGAAGGCCATAAGGGTCAGTTTTCTATCCACCCTAGTGCTACTAAGATGTATCAAGACTTGAAGAAGAACTTCTGGTGGCCGGGCATGAAGAAAGATGTTGCTATCTTTGTGTCTAAGTGTTTGGTTTGCCAGAAGGTGAAGATTGAGCATCAGAGACCGTCTGGTGAACTTCAACCTCTTGAAGTACCACAGTGGAAGTGGGAAGGTATTTCCATGGACTTCGTGGTGGGATTGCCGAAGACTCAGGCGGGTTGTAACTCTATTTGGGTCATTGTGGACAGACTGACGAAGTCTGCCCATTTTCTTCCAGTGAAGGTGAGCTTCACTACAGAGCAGTTGGCCAAGCTTTATGTCCGCGAGATTGTGAGGCTTCACGGGGTGCCCGAGAGTATCATTAGTGATAGGGACCCGAAGTTCACTTCTCGGTTCTGGGAGGCGCTGCAGGAGGCTTTTGGTACGCAGTTGAGATTAAGTACCGCCTATCACCCTCAGACTGATGGACAGACTGAGAGGACCATCCAGACCTTGGAGGACATGTTGCGAGCTTGCACGTTGGAGCAAGGCTCGGCATGGGATAGGTACCTTCCGTTGGTTGAGTTTTCTTACAACAACAGCTTTCGTGCTAGCCTGGGCATGGCGCCCTACGAAGCACTGTATGGTAGGAGGTGTCAGACTCCTACTTGTTGGTCTGAGGTTGGGGATAAGGAGCTTTTTGGCTTGGACTTTGTCCAGGATACCACCTTGCAGATCCAGATGATCCGTGAAAAGTTGAAGCAGGCGCAGAATAGCCAGAAGAGCTACTATGATGTTAAGCATCGTTCGCTAGAGTTCAGTGAGGGTGAGCACGTGTTTGTGAGACTTTCACCTGTCACCGATGTAGGTTGGGCACTCGGAGTGAGGAAGCTGAGCCCGCGATATATTGGGCCATACCAGATTCTTGGTAGAGTAGGACCTGTTGCCTACCGGCTTGCCTTGCCTCCGAACCTGGCTAACATCCACGACGTGTTTCACGTGTCTCAGCTTTGGAAGTACATAGCAGATCCGTCGCACGTGGTGCAACCGGATGATGTGGAGGTTCGGGAGAACCTAAAGACTCTCGTCGGACCACTCAGAATTCTCGATCGTGGCGAGAAGCAGCTGAGGAGCAAGACCATTCCGATGGTCAAGGTGCAGTGGACCGGAAGGACTCCTGAGGAATGTACTTGGGAGCGTGAGGACGAGCTTCTCTGGCAGTACCCCGAGTTTCGACCAGGTATGTTTCTGATTTTGAGGTCAAAATCCTAAAAAGGTGGGGTGAATGTAAGAACCCGCACCGTTAATTAAGGTATTTAATTAATTATGCAAAAATAAGAAATGATTCCATAATTGACCCTAATAATTATTTATGAGGCTTAATAATCATAATAAGTGATTAAGAATGCTGAAAGTCGCTTTTCGGAAGAAAAGTGCAGATACCGGTTCTGCTAGTCGGTATAAATGTGTACAAAAAAAGTATCCCGGAACATTAATGTAAGTGCATGATAATTACTAGAATAACATGTAGGACTTGTAAAACGAGTTTCAAGTCCAAATAATGAGAACTGGTGCTAGAAACCGGTACTGGCTTTGAAAAGCGCGTACCGGAAAAGTGCTCAGAAAAATATAAGAAAAATATGATAAAAAGGGAAAATGGAACCTTTAAGGGATATCTTCACGAAAATCCAGAAACTGCATTCTGTCGTGAGATATCCGGATATTTGTCGAACTGATATCCGGATATTGGATATCCGGATACGTGGTTTTGGGATATCCGGATATTGGATATCCGGATATGTGAATCTGTATATCCGGATATTGCATATCCGGATATGGACAGTGAGATATCTGGATATTCTGGGATTTCGCAGAACAGCAGTTGTGCTGTGTGTACAGTAGGCTATTGGGGGTTTGTGGATCCTAGTTTGATGAAGTTGAACTTCTGTATTTAATGGATTAAGCCAGAATCATGGGATTTAGGGCTTGTGGCTTTGTTAGAAGCTTTAAGACTTGAAAACGTAATGAAAAGGCGTTGTCTTTAATTTGTATGCATGTGGTACATGTTATTGATTTATGTTTGGTCCATATCAGATTGTGATCTGCTGTGATTGTACTTTGAGCTTGTGGCATTGGATAGCTAGCTTAGAGGTAAGCTTTCGTGTCCTCGGTTTAGCCATGTTGTGGTTCCACCATGTCCCATGGGGATATGGTATATGCATGCTGTGTTACATGCTTTTGATGTTTTGGAAATGCAGTTGAGCTATTATATGTTAGTGCCTTGTTGATATGCATGGAGGTGTTCCACCTATACGGTAAGCCTGAGTATGTAGAACATACAAGAGGGTGAGGTTGTGGGTGAGGTGCAAGCGGTGTTCCTTGTACTACATGTAGGGAATAGACGTATTCCTACATTTCTCTGGCCAGTAGATAGTAATTACACACATGCCATAGATATTTGTTGCGCTACATAGTTTTTGGAACTGATAATGATATAAATGCTTTTGAACTTATATTGCATATGTAAGTGAGCTTGGGGTGGAAGATCCTTGAGGACCGCTTGTCTTACTGAGATTTCTAGTTTAGAGATCTCACCCCACGTTTGGGGAATGCTTATTTCAGGATCAAGTAATGTTGAGACCTCAGGCGGCAGGAGGCCGGAGCTGAGTTAGAGTGCTGTTATTTTATGCTGCCATGATTGGATGCTGGATTTGCATGTTGTTTATATGCTTATAGCTTTAGTATGATTTTGGAGTTTTATGTTGAGATTGTTGTTTACTATGTCTATTTGGTGAGCATGGGGATTGTCCATGACACATAGTATTTTTATGTCTTGAGTCTTTTGGAGTTGTAATAATGTATCAGGATATTGTCCGGATTACTTGATGTAATGTCGTGATTTAGATACACGCTTTATCTATATATTGAGGTATTTCAGTAGATGTCTTAGTGCAATGAAGTAGATGACATACCAAGCCGGAGGAGGAATTTGCTTGTAACCACTTTGATAACTTCTTGTAGGATGATTTCTTGACGTCTAAAGTAATCCCTGAAGGCCTGCACGGTAATACATGGTTTGACCTACAATGCCGATAGACAAACACTAATTAGATTACTCGAGGTAAAAAAAGGAGAAAATTGAAGTAACAAATGTAATAAATTCCTATAATCACCTTAAACTTTAATTTTAAAAAAAAAATGCCAAACAATTCGCAAAATAAATGCATCATTATTCCACTAGCTCAAGCCTTGCAGCTTATGTATACGTGACCCCTAATATCTTGTTTGTGATCTTTTAACATATATGTTTATGTAAACTTTCTTTTTCTGTGTAAAATTATATATATATATAAAAAAAAAAACACTAATTAGATTCCATAAGCCTTGCAGCTTATGTAAATTTTGATGACATGGCACACTGTTATTTACATTACCAAATTTCTCATGATCTCATCCAATTAAAAGTGTACTCCATAGTGGTCATATTTTGGAAACCTCTGTCACTGAACGAATTTATTTTAGAAAATTTCAAAACTGACCCTAATTGTCAACCAAAATTCCTGGATTGCTGGATTTTTTGGCCATTCTGTTTTTAATGGTTCAACCAAGAGGACAAACACACACACACACACACAGAGAGAGAGAGAGAGAGAGAGAGAGAGAGAGATAACCCTACCATAGAGTGCTTCCGGGCATGGGAAGGTCTTTGTCCTTCAGTGTTGTATGCAATGCTTGCAGAAGGCACTTGTCCAACAGCAAATCAATGTCTGCAGTTGATAGATTTTAATGGTCATTTGGGTCACCAGCAAAGCCAGTATCCGGTAACTTCAAATCCTCCACTTCATCCCCTTTTGTGTTTCCCTGTTTGTTACTTGTAATGAATCAAACAATCAGGGTCAAGCAATACTTGCCACAGCAAATCACGATAATAATGAGTTATTCTCAAGGCCTTTCCACGTAATCCAGCTTTTAAAGCTTCAGTGCTGCTCATTGTGGTACTCCCAACCTTCATAAAAATGAATGAATGAATGAAGTGTTAAAAATAACAAGTAAGGTAAGAATGATAATAGGAGATAAAGAAGAAGTGGTGGTGGTTAGAGAACATACCGCAATAGGAGCAGGATTTCCGGGTACTTTAACAGACCATGGTTCACCAGCTACAAATGAAGGAAGACCTTGAAGAGGGACATTGATACCTGCGAACATCATCAAATCAGCTCTTCCAATAACAAAATGAGAAACCTCACCACCCTTCAGCGTGAAACAAGGGAGTAACTCTCGAACCATCCACAGAGCATAAACTGCAAAATCACAAATGAAATCATCATGCTTTTTCATAACTCCTTAATGCTTCGCTTCAGTTTCTTCCCTCTGGTGAGACTACGCCTCCACCCCCTTCTTGAACATTCTCTTATTCGCCTCTCTCGCTCTCTCTCTCTCTCTCTCTGCGTTAAGTGAAACTCGGTATAACGGCGAAGTTTTGACTATTTGTTCTGTTTCATTTTAGGGTTTTATTAATCTTAGGTTTAAGGAGATAAATTATCTCATGTCATAGTCATATAGAGATACATTTGTGGGCTCCACCATCTGAAAAAAAAATAAAAAAGTGGCACAGTTATCGAAGAAGGATGTGTAGGAGAGAAAATTATCACATGTAACATAAGAGTATTTTTTCCCTTCATTTTATATAGAGAAATTTGCATAGTGTTACTAACATAGGGTTTTGATCTATTTTTAGCAATAAGTTGCACATCATTCTATCCATTATTCTTTTTTTATAATTAAATTCTTAATTCAGATTTCAATTTTTGTAAATACAAATTTATAAAATTCCAAATAATAACGACCCAAATCCTTGCAAAAAAATTATTATTTATTATTATTTTGTAAATCTAATTGTAATAAATGAAAGTTCATCTCTGAGATAAAATATAAAAACCTAGACGCAACTATAAGAGCCTTTTTTGTGGATAAATATAAAAACTTATTACATGTTAATAGTTAGAGGTGGCAAACTGGACTCGGCCCGAAGGGCCGACCCACCAACTCATTTTTATAATTAAAATAAAATTTCATCATTCTTCTTTTATAATTAAATTCCTAAATCTGATTTTGATTTTTGTAAATACAAATTTGTAAAATTTCAAAGACAAACGACACAAATCCTTGCATAAAATAATTATTTATTATTATATTTTAAATCTGATTATAATAAATGAAAGTATGTCTCTAAGATAAAATATAAAGGGGAAGGATATTGTAACCTATGATGCACGAACACGGACATGGGACACGACACGACACGCCGACACGTTAATTCTAAAAAATGTCATATTTGGACACGTTGGGACACGTTTTGATATTAAATAAAATTTTTAATATATATAATATAATTTACATTTAATACATATAGCAACTCATAATAACTCATATACTAATCAAGAAAAAATTAACTCATATAGTTAAATAACTTATATAATTTACACGACACGCCGACACGTTAATTCTAATGAGATTGATTTAGTGTATAAAAATTCCAAATGACATGGGCAAAGCAAGAAAAAATAGCTAAACATGTCTGGCCCTCTCCTGCTTGGGCTTATGATTACAAACAGAGAGAAAATAAAAAGGAAAAAACAAAGGGGTGGGTTCTGCAAAAAAAGCTTAAAAAATTGAACTAAACGTGAGTTCTACAAAATCATGGTTTATAATTGACATGTGCTTTATAACTGCAGATATTCACAATCATCAAGATGATTAGAATGTTATGCAAATTAAAGGATCTGAGTTATTTGTTGATCTTTGCTTTTCTGTGTGCTTTTGAGAAAGAGAGATTACAGGGAATAGTTGAGCTTTGAATAGGTAATATGGTCAAAGATGGAGAAGATCCATGATCTTAATACATGTAAAGGCAAAAAAATCAAAACAAATAAGAGACTGCAACGGAGAAAAATACGTTACTATTATCAACCGATTTCAAACAATGAAAGAAACACTCATCCTCCAATGACCTCTGCAAAACAAAACTCGGTCCTTTTGCTGGAAGACATGGTCCAAAAAAATTAAATCTAAGTTGGAAGACACTATAATCATAATTTTAAGCATGTCTTCGGATTCTGGTGAAAGGCTGATATCAAATGCATTACTTGATTGACAGAGTCTAAATACAAACCTAAAATCATTTAGATGAATGAAATACAACATATTCCACAGTCACAGTATAGCCGCTGCAAAGATAAAAACATCAAATATCCACAACCATAATCCATGAAATCCTATAAATAAGATAACCAGCCAAGCCACCAACCAGCCAATCCATGAAACTTACAGTCAAATATAATGATTGAAGAGTTACAAATCCACAAAGAACAAAAACTAAAAAAGGAAAACTAAATAAATATAGCTGGTAGTGTTTGTAAAGAATATACCAACGATTGGTTGAGCTGGTAGTGTCCTGAGCAATTGCAGTAAAATTCATTATGCATGTTGGGATTCCTCTTGATAAATTATTTTGTGAGAGATCCAATACTTGAAGTTTCCTTAGAAAATAGAGATTTGATGCTAAAGCTGAGAACCTATTATTAGAGAGATGCAGTGCTGATGCTTGCAACAAAAACATAGGAATGGAACCTTGAAATTTATTTAAAGACAAATCTATTTCGGGATTGTAGGTAAACTTGAGTATCACATTCGGAATCTTGCCCGTGAGATTGTTGTTTGAAATATTCATGTAATCTAATGCTTGCAATTTGTCCCAAAACCAGATAGGTATGAGATCCCCATTCTCGACATTTGAAATGTCGAGTCTGTCTAAATGATTTTGAGTCTGGAGCAAAAAGTTTATTCAGAGAGAACGAAGATGATATTCTTGAAGAAAAGGAAAAAGAAGAGAAGAATGCACAGAAAGAACAAAAAGAAGAAAAAGAAAAAGCTCAGGTGCAGGTAAAGAAAGGGCAGAGTTTAAAGTCGTTAATGGAGGAAGAGAAAAGAAAGAATGAGAACTTAGTGATGATGCGATGCCACTCTGATTGAAGATGATCGGAGATTTGAGAATCGAAAAAGACTTACAGACGACCAGCAGCCTCCTCCAGCGTCAACGAAAAAGAAGGGATAGGGTTCAGATTTTTTAAAATTTATTAAATTTATTTTATTTTTTATTTATAAAAAAAAATGCCAAAACGTGTCCCAAATCGTGTCCAAATACGTTGACCGCGTGTCGGATTCGGTCAAACTCGCGTGTCCCACTAGTCAACGTGTCCTAAAAAGTTGACCGCGTGTCGGACTTGTGTCCGAGCGTGTCCGAACGTGTCCGTGTCGGACACACACTTTTGGCCAAAAATGGCATGTCCGTGTTTCAGAGATTGTAACAACCAAGTTGTGTTACTACCAATCAATCTCATCGTTAGATCGATTATATTGATCCAACGATTATATTTATTTTCATCTTTGTATGGTCATGATTTCTCAAATTTAATACTTTATATTTATTTCCACCTTTGTATGGTTATGATTTCTCATATTTAATGCTTTCACTTTAAATATGGGAAATCATAACCATACAAAGAAGGAAATAAATATAACTGTTGGATCAACATAATCGATCTAACGGTGAGATTGATTGGTAGTAACTTGGTTGTTACAATATCCTTTCCCAAATATAAAATCTTAAAAGTGATGATAAGAACTTTTTTTCTGGATAAATATAAAAATCTATTGCATGCTGACAGTTTACCCACCAACAAATTTTTATAATTAAATTATGGGCCTGTACGCCCCACCTGCCAACACGTTTCAATAATTAAATTAAAATTCCACTATTCTTCTTTTATAATTAAATTCCTAATTCAGATTTCAATTTTTGTAAAAATAAATTTATAAAATTCCAAATAATAATGACACAAATCCTTGCAAAAAATAATTATTGATTATTATTTTGTAAATCTAATTGTAATAAATGAAAGTTCATCTATGAGATAAAACATAAAAACCTAGACGCAACTATAAGAGCCCTTTTTGTGGATAAATATAAAAACCTATTACATGCTAATAGTTAGAGGTGGCAAACTGGGTTCGGGCCGAAGGGCCGACCCAGCAACACAATTTTATAATTAAATTAAAATTTTATCCTTCTTCTTTTATAATTAAATTACTAAATCCGATTTTGATTTTTGTAAATACAAATTTGTAAAATTTCAAATACAAACGACACAAATCCTTGCAAAAAATAATTATTTATTATTATTTTTTAAATCTGATTATAATAAATGAAAGTCTGTCTCTGAGATAAAATATAAAAACTTAGATGCAAATATAAGAACTTTTTTGTGTGGATAAATATAAAAATTTATTACATGCTGGTAGGGGTGTAAATGGGTCAGGCTGGCCCAGCCCGGCCTACATTAAGCCTGGCTTGGCCCGGCCTTTCAGAAAAGTAGAGTAGGCTTAGGCTTTTAAGAAAGCTTTTTTAACAAATAAGTCGTAGGCCAATTTTGTCAAGCTTAGCCCAAAGCCTTGTAGGCTGACCTATTTAATTTTTTTTAAAAAAATATTTATTTTATGTGGCATGACAAAGTACCAATACCAACCCTAATTTTTAGATGAATGATATTCTCTTGTAGACTTTATTTCAGCACCCAATAATTGTATTTTTCTTATTTTCTCCATTTTTTTTTTTGTAATAATTTTCTCCATTTCTTTGACTCTATTCCTCTATGATATACATTCTAAAGCTGGGGTATTATGTTGACTCTTTCTTGTTTGTTATTTTTTTCTTATGAGAAGTACTAGTGCATTCATGAATGAAACTTTCTTTGCTCTATACAATTATTTTCTTTGCTTAGTATCTACAGTGTAGGCCTACAAGGCCTGTAGG